CATTTGTCATATTTCAAATTCAAATTTCCCGCCGTAATGTCTGCTGTCAGTGATGTGCGCATACCTTCACCACCATTTTTACACACGACATTAAATTTTTGAAATTAAATTTCATTTGAAGAAGCACTCGCGTTCTATTAAGTTCTCAAAATATCCAATGATATTTAGTTATTTATTAATTACTATCGATATCTTGGTGGTCAGAATCTGGGTGCATTTCCATTTCGTCAGTTCGTATGTTTACCATTCGTCAGCAGTCGTCGACCTTCAGTTTGCAATCTTGTTGTGCACCCAGATCGATTGTTTGACCCAGCGCACCCAAAATTTCACATATTTCTGCAGAGTGCCTAAAACGAAACGTTGCAATTGACATTTAGACAAGTAGTTGATAGAAATTTCAAAAAATGGTAAGTTGCTCGTTATGATAGTTTTAAACAAAGTGTTTCATTAGAAGAATTGATCTATTGTGCTATTTTAGGATTACAATCGCCAGCCGCAATAATATGTATTTATATCCTTGTTTTTGTTTCAGGGAAATGAAACTTCACTGCCAATGGAGCTCTGCTCTAACTGTAAGTAATAATTGACTTATGTTAATAGAATAACATTGAAAAATTAATTTTTGACTTAATCTGGATAACTTTGTGTAAAAGCTACATTTTAAAATATTGTTCTTACTTGTTGCTTACAAATTATTTAAAAATATTTTTTTATATTGTTAAAATCATTACTAGGTTATTAATTTATTATTTAGACATTCAGGACTAATGTGGATGAATAATTATTTCATTCTCAAAACCATTTATTAAAACCAAGAAATAAAAGAAAATAGGTTAGGAGTTCCTTGACCCGAAGAACTTTCTAACATGGAAATGAAATTGAAATTGATTTTTAACTCGAATTGTTATAAACTTTATTGACATTGCTTTATTAACAATGTGCAATCGAAACGATCTTTTAACTATATTTTGTCAAAAATTAATTGATTTGTCCAAATCAAATTTTATCACAATATTTCATATATATTCTTTTGGAAGCAACATTTTACGATATTTTCTTACTTGTTGCTTACAAATTGTTTAATTATTCTTTATATTATTTAAGGTTATTAATTTATTATTTAGATGATTTTATTTTCAAAACCATTTATTAAAATCAAGAGAAAAGGGAAAATACGTTAAGAGTTTCTTGACCTGAAAAACTTTCTAACGAGAAAATGCAATTGAAATTGATTTTTGACTCGTATTGTTCCTTTAAGGCGTGCAAGAATTCATTAACGTTGTTCTATCAACAATTTGCAATTGATACTGACTTTTAGCTATCATTTTGTCAAAAATTAATTGATTTGTTCAAATCAAAGAAGTTTTATCACAATACTCCATATATATTCTTCTGGAAGCACAATTTCAAAATATTGTTCTTACTTGTTGCTTAAAATTCTTTTAGATACTGTTATGAATAATAAAAAAAATTGCTGAATGATGACATATACCGTGTCGAAACGTATAAATAAATAGATCATTATTTATTGTTCTTTTAATTGAATGATTGGCTGCAAATTAACATTCAAGTATATATATATATATATATATATATATATATATATATACATATATAATGGTGGTCCTTAATATGGATATTTTCAAATTTCTTTGCTCCCAGGTGCTCAAATGCTTTCAAATTCTCTGAAAGTTTTAGCCCTTAATGTCAATTTTAAGATAGTCCACGCTCTATCTCTAACATCTATATCAAGGACCACCCTGAATATATACAATTATCTACATACCTTTACCAATTTCTAACATTTATCTTTTTCCTCTCCAGTTGATGCCGATGAGATACGACGTCTGGGCAAAAGATTTCGCAAATTAGATTTAGACAATTCAGGTGCTCTGAGCATCGATGAATTCATGTCACTGCCCGACCTCCAGCAGAATCCACTGGTCCAGAGGGTCATCGATATATTCGATTCGGATGGGAATGGTGAAGTGGATTTCAAGGAGTTCATTCAGGGGGTGTCTCAGTTTAGTGTTAAAGGAGATAAATTATCAAATTAAGATTCGCTTTTAGAATATACGATATGGATAATGATGGGTTTATTTCTAATGGAGAACTTTTCCAGGTAATAAATGATAATGGATATATATATATATATATATATATATATATATATATATTAGTGTGGTTCTTAATATGGATATTT